CCGGTTTGAAGTATTGATGTTGTGTATACTGGGTGAGTTATATGAATTTTTTTTTTCTACTTCTGGTAGATGTGATATGGATACTTGTGTTACATTCTCTTCCATTACAGCAATGAAATATTCATGTGTTGTATACAACTTACTAGATGTATGGAGATTCTTTTATTGATAATGAAATGTGTAGTACCTATATCACTCACCAGGGAAAAATAGATACCTATATGTTGTATTGAAATATCACTGAAATATAACTGTAATGTGAAATGCTTGTAGATAGAAGTATTACTTTGGGAATAATAACTGTGTACAGGTTAATGTTTCACATTTTACTCTAGCTCCTACATCTGACTCCTTACTATTGAGCCACATAAACAGTACAGCTGAAGCATTAAAATATTGTTGTAAAAATCCATTTATTGGAAATCATAAAAATGTAAAAAGATCTTATCTTAAGGAATAGAGGTACTTATTCACTGCTTACACCAGTTAATAAAAAAAAAAAGGAATTATAAATTTCCGTTGATGACTAGTTCTAGGGTTTTACCTGGGAAAGTGTTATTAAGCTGAAAAAAGACAGCAATTACTTTGATGTATAACTGGTCCTGGGTGTTTTTAGCTTTACACAACCAATTTGTAAAGTTTTTCTCAGCTTTAAAGATTACGACTATACTTTGTCATCTGTTTTTGTTTGCCACTAAACAGAATATGTTAATTGACAATCCACCTCTCTGATTGGTCAAAATACTATGTGTGATGGACAGTTTCTGGAAGATCTCTGTTGCTGTTTTCAGTAGAGAGTATGAGTATATTCAAGACATGTGAATATTTCTCTACCACATTTAATGAGCCAAAAACATTGACACTGTTTTGACTCTAATTAGCCTTATAGTATATGTATGCCTCTAGAAAGGCAAGGAAACTTTTAAAACCAAATTAACTTCAGAAGATACAAGATCAAATGTAGAAATATTTTTTTGGTAGTATATTTTCACATTTGTGGTATTGTTTGTATGTCAGATATTAATGAATGTGAGTGTATACCAAGCCAAGATATACATTATATATGAATTTACACGCTGTAAATAGGTTTGTTTTATATCATCATATGGCATTATTTTGCTTATGTTTTGTAGTCATGTTTCATTAAAGGTCAAGTAACCTGACCTTTGGTTCATAAATAGATACAGTATGTAAAACAGTTTGTCAAAATAAACTAGTGACAGGAAGGCATACTTGTGTGTTATACCTCACAATTCCGTTATCCAGGGGGCCTCTTTTTTGTGTGAAGCACAATCATGTCTGATAGGGATTCAATACTACTGGGTTGGAGTTGGGGATGGATATTGTATAGTCCTAGGTCAGGGGTTAGGGGTCAGATAGGGTTTAGAAGGTCAGGGGTCAGTAGTCAGATACAGGCAGAAGAGAATGTTTGTGGAAAGTGCTAATCAGTGAATGTCTTTAACAACCTGGCATAGACACAAAGATAGGAAACAAGTGTGTGACCTACGATTTACAGGTATTAAAGTACCGACTCACCTGTATGAGATTTTACTTGGTGTGTATCATTTCCACAGTGTGTGTATTTTTTACTAGGAGATAATACATAATTCCAACCTTTGATCTGGAGACAAAGTCTGTAACCTGTGAAATGTGGTCTATTTTATAAGTTTGAAAACAACAATGTTAGAATTTGAATGCTGAGATCTGTCAACAATGCTTCCATTGTGATCTCACTGTTTAAATGTATGTGAAGATTCGAGGACAAGACTACAGTACGTGGAGTATTGACATTCCATGGCTAAGACACATGGCCAGCCTCAATAGACTGCTCCGAGGTCATTCTAGGTAGACTGTGTTTGATACCTCTAATGATACTTGTAATATAGATACAATCCAGGTAAGTCTGAGTAATACACACATTTAAAAGTTTACTACATAGATGTTTACATTCCTATGTTAATGTAACTGTAGATATATAAAATTCAATTTAGTTAACACAACTGTCAATTAAGTTGAAATAAAATTCCTCTAAAATCTCTCATTGTTTATGCTGGCTAAAAACAGGCCAGTTACCATAACAATGAGTTACATGTTGATGGCTGAGTTGATGTCAGTGCTCTAATTCTTTATGATAAATATTAAACTAGATTGTAAACAGTCAGTCCTAAATAGATGTAAATTTCACTGCTAACCGATTCAGAATAAAGTATAGACCTTTTTTGTTAACTAACATTAAGTAGGGTGTAAATATTTATTGCTAACTTATACTAGTTAGGGTGTAGATGCTTACTTTCAACTTACACTAGAGTGTAAATATTTACTGCTAACTTACACTAAATAGGGTGTAAATATTTACTGAAAACTTACACTAGGTAGGGTTAAAATATTTACTGCTAACTTACACTAAATAAGGTGTAAATATTTACTGCTAACTTACACTAAATGGGGTGTAAATATTTACTGCTAACTTACACTAAATAAAGTGTAAATATTTACTGCTAACTTACACTAAATGGGGTGTAAATATCTACTGCTAACTTACACTAAATAAGGTGTAAATATTTACTGCTAACTTACACTAAATGGGGGGTAAATATTTACTGCTAACTTACACTAAATAAGGTGTAAATATTTACTGCTAACTTACACTAAATAGGTTGTAAATATTTACTACTAACTTACACTAAATTGGGTGTAAATATGTACTGCTAACTTATACTAGATAGGGTGTAAATATTTTCTGCTAACTTACACTAAATTGGGTGTAAATATTTACTGCTAACTTACACTAAATAGGGTGTAAATATTTACTGAAAACTTACACTAAATGGGGTGTAAATATTTACTGCTAACTTACACTAGGTAGGGTGTAAATATTTACAGCTAACTTACACTAAATAAGGTGTAAATATTTACTGCTAACTTACACTAAATGGGGTGTAAATATTTACTGCTAACTTACACTAAATAAGGTGTAAAGATTTACTGCTAACTTACACTAGATAGGGTGTAAATATTTACTGCTAAATTACACTAGATAGGGTGTAAATATTTACTGCTAAATTACACTAGATAGGGTGTAAATATTTACTGCTAAATTACACTAGATAGGGTGTAAATATTTACTTCTAAGGCTCTGTATATTTATAGGTAATTATAACCTAGAGTGTATACAACAGAGAGAGATGGTGTTATCATTACATAATTATATGGTACATGTTGTGAAGAACTAGGAAACATAAACCCAGGGAATGGAATATTATTACAGAGGTGAAGGTCATACATTTAGATATACAGGTAAGGGTACACTTCCGTGGACTCCACCCAACCTAAGTGTTTGGGGATTTACTGGGCCTGGCACGATTCAGGCTCTAATTGAATAATGAATTGGGTTTTTATAAACTTCATATCTAGGAACATTTGGCCAGCATTTGATAAGATGACACTGCATGTATTTGCATTCATTTAACGACAAAAATTCCAATAATTTAATTTTATATGTAGAGATTAAGGCCGTCCCATTACTAATTCACACAGGGTCTGTGTAAATTGAGTTGTATCAAGCTAGACAGATAATGTATACCCTTATCACATACTTTCCGCATTGCTTTTATTCCTAATGTTGAAAGTATTATGTGAAATGCGGCTAGAATATCTTTTATGTTTATAAACATGTGGAGTTCATGATAATTGACAAAAATGTATTGACAGATCAGTTTAATTTACTGGTTGTTTAACACACCTGGTTCTAGAATGATGTTTAAGCACATTGTCCATTAAACCAGCAGTCTGTCAATATCTTTCTTTAAAAGACTTCTGAAGAACAAATTTTGTATATGGCTATGATATTGAAGAAGTAGCAACCTGACAAGTTGACAAATGTGTTATCTTTACACATATTGGTAAAACAGTATGGTAAAAACTTCTTCTTTTAAACCAGAAGGCCTGGAATCATGTTTCAGCAGTTTGACCACCATTCAAAGCCAAGTCCTGTGATTGTATGAGAAAACACTCAAATGATAATTAACTATTGGTTTACAATCAAGTTATAAATGCTGCTTATCATTTTAACAGCAGGAAGCTTCTGGTTATGCAAAATAGCTAAATGTGCTGACAAAAAGTAACTAAGTTTTAGGAAAAAAACCTTTTATTCAATGTCACAATGACCTGTCTTCTGATATTTCAGAAGGACTCAAATTTATCATGTTGCCACCACAGTGTGTTGCAAAGTTTGAAAATAAATTCAACTCGATATTGGAAGGGACATTTGTTAAACATGGCTTCTGATGAAATCAACTGTCATGATATATTTCGCCAATACCATGATTTTTCAAACTTGTCAAATGGATGTACCTTTGTAGTTTTATCCCCACATTATTTAAGAAGGGGAGGGGGATAGCATTCCTAACCAATATGATATCTGGAGAACCTCTCTCAACAGATACCCAATAGTTTCATAACATCAAGTTCTATACCTTATTATATAAAATGTAGTCATTGGTCATGACTGAAGAGTTGAAGGTCACATTTAACAATGATAATTGTATACATGACAGAATGTGCATTCATGTCATTTTCTAGTGTCTTCAGTTTTCAAAAAGGGTCATTTTCAGTAGACAAATGTATTGTCTGGTGGTCATAATCTCCAGTATGTGTGATGATAAATGGGTAACTTAGTAATTTGGAAGACCTACTTAATTACCATGATATTGCATCTTATTTCCATATTGTGTATTATTTTTTTCCTTACATGCATATTAATCCAGTGAGGTAACTCATGACCTGTGATCCAAAGTCAGTTGGCTGGCTTAATTGTGATTCTTATTTGATGTGCTATAATGGACTTCTTAATTACTTTTTTTAATATGCAAGATTTCTTCTACATTTCAGAATTCAGATGCAAGAATGGCATTGAAACATTAGGGTTGTTTACAAAGAAGCTATTTCAAAAAATTAAAATGGTTAAACTCTGATCTTTTGATTTTGTTTTTTTTTAACAGAGGCCAGTTTTGCAGTAAAGGCACGTGCCGTGAAGGACTTCTGTGACCTCTATGACACAAAATCCCTGGCATTTCGGGAGGGAGATATTATCAAGGTTAGTATTTAATTTTTCAAATAATTGTGTGTGGGTATTTTCTATCAGAGTTCAACTACATTTATTGTAACATTTTGCAAAAGAAAACTACATGATACATCTGTGATTAGTGCTAACTGTTAAACTACTGCATGAACGTAAACCATGTAAATCACATGATACAACGCTGAATGCTGATTGGATAATTTCAAAAGCTGTTCTGAAGATCACAATTCATAACAGTAATTCTGGACATAATTGATGATAAATGCTCAGTTTTTCTCAGGTCAATTCTGGCTTGGTTGTATGGTATATTTACTTAGCTACCTAGCTATGGAGGAGACCTGGAAGTAGGAGGTAATATACTGAAGCCATTACCGCCTTCTGATTAGGATAATGCCATGGTGTTGTATATGGGTGATAACAAATTTGTACACAAAGCCAATCATTTTCTAGTGCTGAGGACTCCATGGTTTCACGGTGTTGTATGGTTTGATAAAAGCCATCATTTCCTACTGCCAAAGACTCCATGGTTTCACGGTGTTGTATGGTTTGATAAAAGCTATCATTTCCTACAGCTAAAGACTCCATGTTTTCACGGTATTGTATGGTTTGATAAAAGCCATCATTTCCTACTGCTGAAGACTCAATGGTTTCATGGGGTTGTATGGTTTGATATAAGCCATCATTTCCTACTGTTTAAGACTCCATTTTTTACGGTATTGTATGGTTTGATATAAGCCATCATTTCCTACTGCCAAAGACTCCATGGTTTCACGGTATTGTATGGTTTGATATAAGCCATCATTTTCTACTGCCAAAGACTCCATGGTTTCACGGTATTGTATGGTTTGATATAAGCCATCATTTCCTACTGCCAAAGACTCCATGGTTTCACGGTATTGTATGGTTTGATATAAGTCATCATTTCCTACTGCCAAAGACTCCATGGTTTCATGGTATTGTATGGTTTGATATAAGACATCATTTCCTACTGCCAAAGACTCCATGGTTTCACGGTATTGTATGGTTTGATATAAGCCATCATTTCCTACTGCCAAAGACTCCATGGTTTCATGGTATTGTATGGTTTAAGCCATCATTTCCTACTGCCAAAGACTCCATGGTTTCACGGTATTGTATGGTGTGATATAAACCATCATTTTCTAGTGCTAAAGACTCCATGGTTTCACGGTATTGTATGGTGTGATATAAACCATCATTTTCTAGTGCTAAAGACTCCATGGCTTAATGGTGTTGTATGGTTTGATATAAGCCATCATTTCCTTATGATAAGGTTGCTATGGTTTCATGGTGATGTGTGGTTTAGTATAAGCTAGTATTTCCTTAAAAGGTGATCTGTGGTTTGATAATATGGTTGATGAAATTCCATATTAGCAATTGTAAGTGGTCTTGTTATAGTCAACACAGGCCATTGATATCAATTAGCACTGTAATCCTACAAAATGTGCAGACATGATGATTAGTACATATGTACCTTTGTTTGACAGCCAATACAGCTGACCAGCTGGGTATTATTAATTATAGATAAATATAACAATATTAATTGATATTACTAGATCCTGTTCTATTTTTTGTTCATTTAGGAATCTGGAGTATGTGGGTTTATATTAGGTGGTAATTAGTCTTTATTAACTAAGTATGTGATATTTGATAATAATTTCTAGTCCCCTTTCTCCCTCCCTGATAAGGAAAGGCACTGACCTAAGTCTGTAAATGTGTTGATTTTTCACACAGTAAATTGTTTATGAAATTTGCTATGAAATTTTCAAATTTAAGTAATTTTAAGCAGCTTTAAGTGCTTAGTTATCCTTTCAAATTGATATCCTTATAATCTTACAAATCTGTTGTTTGAAATACAGATACGAAAATTATTTCAGAAGAATAAAAACGATAGTAGTTAACCATTAGCCTTGAATATTTTATGTTATTTGTATTTCCACATGGCTTTACACAGGGATATGTATATTTTAAAAGATTTCAATTTTGAAGGTGTTCTTTTTTTGTCCACAAATTCCCATCTAAGAATGGAAAGTACTTGCTCTGGTGTTTTCCCTATTAATTTGTTTATTAATTTCTCCTTCCCTCTATCCACATAGATTGTTGGTATGTTTGGTGTTGTGTGGTAATATCACTTCATTGATGACATATAGAGGATGGACGTCACAGGAAATTTGGGAGTGTGACATCTTAGTTATTCTACCTAAACTTTCTCAACCTTCAGCACAAACTTTGGAATATATCTGTGACTGAGTCAGAAAGTTTCTTTGTTTTTACTTGGTTGAGTGGATTTGGTAAAACTTTCTTGTGACTTTTATAGGTGCATGGTAGATTAGGACTGATGATCTAATCAGTGAAACTAGTGATGTTAGGGAATCTGTGGGAGATCTGGAGGCCATTAGAGTTAGTCTAGGGGGGCCTGGTCATTTACCTAAACACACACAAACACACTATCCTATCTATCTGTGGAGGGGTGGGAGGGGGGAAATGTCCTGACCTCTCCAGGAGGGGTTGCTGTCTGCATACAAATCACCCAGCATGTGTTGCTGTAAGCTTCTCAAGGCCATCTGTGCACTAGTCCACAAGAGATTTCAGAGTCACTGTGATGTGGGAGGTAGTATGTTCCTAACTTATAACAGGATGTCTTAGTGGTCAGGTGTCAGAGGTAAGCTTTATCAAAGTCTTCTCATCACAGCCTGTAAAACTTATACCCTCAGGCCAGATTTCACAGAAAGTCTTTATGTGACAGGATTCACTGTGAACATTGAAAATTGATCTCCCAAAAATAGTAGATTTGTTGGATTGAATCTTTAAAGGTGATGATTTTTAGAAGTTTTTGTATGATGTGTTTCAGGACTTGATACTTCTCCATGAACAATTGTGGTATTATATATTGTCATTACAAGCATATGTTGATGTTACTCTCAGATAATTTTTCTTTTTTATGTACTCTGAGATAAAAATATTATTATGATGTAAACTTGAATCTAGACTTGATTTACATTATATATAATGGTGACATAAAATATACCTTACTTCTTCAGGATTTTGTATATTTTTCCATGACGTGTGTAGAAGAGGGAAATTTATATATAACATTAATCTTGTCTGTTCAGGCACTTATAAAACCTGGTTTTTTATGACTGCATAATATTTGTATATATCCACTGCTTTTACTTGGCAGGTAATACAAACCTTCAGGTGAAGTTTGACTTTGATAGGACACCTGTGAGGATTAAGGCTCTGAGTTTTATCAGTGGGTGTGTCAAACAAAACAAGATGGATGTCAGTGTGGACAGGACGTAAATATATTTCCTGTCCTCATGTAAAACTGCATTGTCCGACACGCTCATATGTTTCTTTCTTCTTTAGGCTGGAAATCAAATCCACTTTAAAATAGTTTTATTTCGGTAATGCAATATTAAGCAAACAAAAAATGTTTAGTAAATTAATGCATTTAAAAGCATTAAAAGGAATATGTTTCCAAACTCCTTCACTATTGTCTTCAGGGACTTCAAGTAATGGTACAAATGTAGCGTCAGGTTTTTGATCTTTTAGCATTTGATGTGGCCATGTGTTATGTTTAACCTGGCACTATGTATAAATATGTTTGGTAGATTCACTAAATAATGCTATCTATGTGACAAACATTATATCATTATATAGCTCAAACAGTTCAATTGAAAACTGCAGTTTTTCAGAAAGTAAAAATAGATGTTTGTGATAAAGGAAAAACTAGGTGTTTTTTTGTTAACTCCAGTACTTGGTTGAGGCGCGAGACATGGTCATCTGGTTTCTATTTACATTAATGGCAAGGGAGTATCTACTGGGCAAGGGTCAGTTGTTGGATAGTGGCCACATCTTTGGTCAGTAAATTGGCCACAAGAGGAAAGCATATTGTACCTCTTTTACTGAACAAATGGGAGGGTTAGGGAGAGGTTTCCTATCAAGTGTATTGTTCAGGACAAACTATAACTAATGTGGGGAATACCAGGGTTTATATTGGGTATATACTAACCATACACTCCTGCCATATTGTGGCTTTTGTATGTAAAGCTAACCACTTGTTCCATGTGTTATAGTCGAAGTTTTAAGACCCATTTGGTCAGCTTTGGTGGAATAGAGGATAGCAGATGTGTTCAAAACTTTGGAAAATCAATGATGGTCACTGATCAGGGATTTATTGAGGATTTGATAAGGGGAAATAGGAACAGGCAATATTCTTTCAAACATTGTATTTTACCTGTACTTGAATGATCTAAGGATTTTTACAGTTTGCCACTATGATTCATTTGAGGTGTTTTTTTTTTTTAATTTTTATTTTTCAGTATCCCATTTTACTTATAAGTACTACTGATAAATATCAATGAAGATTGGCTCTGAGGCCTGCTACCAGTGTAAATTATAAGCTAGAAAATACAGTACTTTGTGCGAACAAAATATGCAGCACAGTAACCAAGTCCAAATGTCTAGTAATATCACAGACTTATATATACATTATGTGTATATAAGTCCGTGGTAATATCTATAATATTTTTGATGTGTTTTTATCTGTCAAATGAGAAAAATTTAATACCTGGGTAGATAGATATTACTGAATGTGTGTCCAGTACCAGCTTTCCTTAGTCAGGTGAGACCAAGTTTTACCTGATCATAGAGCACCTTAACAACCAAGGTATTTCTATAGTTATTCTTTCTTTACCAGACTGTTGAACACCAGTGTAAACCTGGTGTGAGTGGAAGACTTTCCGAGGTGTTTTCTGTTTAGAGGTATATCCGCTCTGACATTAAGGATAGTTTCTCCCAGATATTTAGTGCTGTGATAATGGGCTGTTAGGATATTTCTTAATGAAGAGGTTATTGACCTCAAAGCTGTAGGTAGGAAGACTCCGCTGCAATGAGATGGAAGAATTAAAAGGGGCAGCCACATTGATACTTTTAGAATTCAAATTCACCTGTCAAATGTGCAGAAAAAGTTTATAGCAAAACAATGTTATAAG